ACTTAACCCAAACATACACTCCACAGTGATCCTAATTCCAAGTTTTAGAATTCCAACGCTATCGGTTCACTCACAATCCAAATTGTACCAAATTCAGTACACAGTAGTACGAATTTCCAAAAACTCCAACTTACCCTAACCCTACAACCCCACAGTGACCCTAAATACAAGTTTCAGGATTACAACTCTATCGGTTCACCCTCAATTCAAATTGTACCAAATTTAGTACACAGTAGTATGAATTTCCAAAACTTTCTACAGACCCCAATCCTACACCACCACAGTGATCCTAACTCAAAGTTTCAGGATTCCAGCTCTATCGGTTCACCTACAGTTCAAATTGTACGATATTTAGTACACAGTAGTACGAATTTCGAAAACTTACCCCAAACAGCTAAATCCAAGTTTCAGGATTACAACACTTTCGGTTCACTCACAATTCAAATTGTACCAAATTTTGTACACAGTAGTACGAATTTCCAAAACGTCCCACTTAACCCAAACTTTCACCCCCAGATTGATCCTAAATCCAAGATTTAGGATTCCAACTCTATCGGTTCGCACAATTCAAATAGTACAAAATTTAGTACACATTAGTACAAATTTTTAAAACTTCCTACATATCTCGATCTTACACCCCAACAGTGATCCTGGCTCCAAATTTCATGATTCTAGCTCTATTGGTTCGCATAAAATTCAAATTGTACCAAATTTAGTACCATTTAGTACCCATGAATATAAATTACTGAAACTGAGTAAAAAAATTCCAAAACTACGTACATTCCCAATCCTACACTCCGACGGTAATGTTAATTTCAAATTTCAGGATTCCAGCTCGATTTTTATCTCCAAGTTAAATTTGTACCAAATATAGTATCATATAGTACTTTTCGTACACATGAGTACACGCTTTCAAAATCATCTCCTTAAATAGGCTCTACATCTCATCCCTAATTCGCATTCCAAATTTCAAGTTTTTAGCTCTATCAAATCACATGCTACGAAATTGTACAAAATTAAGTACATTTTAGTACTTTTCGGATATTTATAGTTCGAATTTCCAAAAACCCTTTGGTACATCTATCCTACACTCAGCGACCACCAATCCAAATTTCAGAGTTCTAGCTCTACCGGTTCGCCATATATAAATGGTATCACATTTAGTACTTTTTAGTACTTTTCGTACCGTTCTAGTACGAATTTCCAAAAACGCTTTTGTACATCTTCCTAACTTTACATCAGTGACCTACATTCCAAATTTCAGAATTCTAGCTCTTCCCGTTCGCCTAATACAGAGGGTACCATATTTGGTACATTTTAGTACTTTTCGTACCCTTCTAGTTCGAATTTCCAAAAACCCAGCCTTATCTCACGCCTACACACCAACACCAACCCACACTCAAAATTTCAAGCTTCTAGCTTTAGCCGTTTCGTCTGGGCGATGATCTGTCAGTCAGTCACTCACTCACTCACGTAACACTAAGCTCTTTTATATATATAGATATATATAAAGTGACAGCACATATGTAAAATAAAATAAAAACACCTTATCTTTTCCTTTTGTGGAATTAATCGATGTATGCACTAAAATGATTTTGCATTTTCAATTGATTTTCAATCAAGAGAAAAACAATAATACGTTTTTGGAAAAATAAAAATCAAATTACTTCAAATGAAAATTTTACTTAATTTTTTTTTATTTTCAAATTCGCGGTAACAACTTTTAATTTTTAAACAAATGTGTGAGTGTATTTGTAAACCACAGTCATTTGAAATGATCTCAAAGCCGGTGTAAATTACCTTAATTTATTTTCAGAAATAAATAAATAAAGTGCGCATGTAAATGCTGTATTAGTTTTTATGTCAGCACAGTTGCAAAAATTGTACCAAATGTAAAACTTGGTGTTTTGTGTCACCCTGTAGTTTCGTACAAATGTCATCGAAAGTTAGCAACGCAGCTAACTTCACGCAGGTTACAAATTTCACTGGCACAGAACATTAATACAAACAATTTTATATAATATTTAGACAGAAAATCAATTAACATATATAATTAACAATAAGAATAACGAGCGAGCGTGTGGAAAAATGCTGCAAATACCGAGTAACTGTGCAATGTATTGTATCCATAATTAAAAGTCGACCGGGGCGTGTTGTTTGCGTGTGTTTGTGTGCGGAATATCATAAAAAAAATTGTAAAAAGTATTCACGAAGGTGATAAAAAGTGAGTGAGTGTTTACAGAATGTATCAAATATTTATTTTCTGATCGGCAAAAATGTAGGAGAATATATAATTGTTCTAATGTGATGTATATAAACGCTTTAGTTATTTAAGTCTCGCAATTAGGACTACAAAGTATGTGTGTGGTTCACTCCCCAAAGTGTTTTTTTTTTCATTTGTAAAATTTCGTAGAAACCAATTTCCTTCCTTAGTCATCCGTATGATAAGTTGACAGTGGGATTGACCCCATCTCATTTAATCTTTGCAAGAGCAATACCAATGTATATCCATATTGTAGCTATTTTAGCAACTAAATATAATAATTTCTGAAATTCAATAAATTGAAAATAATTCGCAGAGTTATGGATAATAAGGGGAAATATGTAAATGGTATATTTTTTACATATGTATTGGTTATATATAATGTAAAATTTCCGAATCCGAAATACACGTTATTCGGGATTGTTATTGCGTTATTACCAGTAAAGACTTATTAATCGAACAGTCAAACACGTCCTGTGCGAATACCGAACTGCTTTCTCCGGTACAAATATCTTTGTACCTAGTGTTTGTGATCTACACAGAGAATGTTGACTTACATTTCAACGTTTATAACGAACTATTTTCTGATTATTTTAAATATGTTACACTTAATTCATTCAATAATTCAATCTAATCACAAATATATACATATCTAATGATTTTTACCAACATATTTGGGGGTAACAATTTTTTTACTACGTCTATAACAGACTAAATTGTCCGGGCCCATAGAGTGCGTTATAATCGAGTTCGACTGTGCATAATTTCGACTCCATAAATGTTGTTATTAAAAAGATATCTTCTCTGTTCCACATCCTATAAAATCATGTATTCATTATTTTTAAGTACGGGAACAGAACACTCATTTATATGAAACTGGTACTTGAAGGAGTGAACGAACTGGTCCTAGCTTCGATCTTGACCTAAATGCGGTAATTATATTACGATGCGCTTCATATGAGGAGATTTACAAGCTTCCAAAATGTTTACCCTTTGTCGGTTGGTGCTAGAATGAGTGAACCGATAAGTCCCATCTTCGAACTTGATTTGTAAATTTGGTCTAAAACCAATATTTTGATGAGGCATATTTTTGCCGTAGAAAATTGTATATACCCCCACCATTAGCCATAAGGCCAAGGATATAATTCTGCCGTTCTGCTACTGGCGATAAACCCCGACTATTGGCAATTTAGCATGTACAAAGTAGGGGAGACCGGGGCACATTCGGCAATCGCGTTTCGATATGAAGCTCTAACTGCAGATCACTAGTTTTGATACATAGGTATCGAATATCGAAAAAATAACTGTTACATAGTTTGAAATCTCTAGCTAATAACCTTATTTATATGCACGGTTTTTTGTATTTTTACAGAGATGTTGTAATATTTCCAATATTAATAAAAATTAGTTAATTACAATGTGCATTCTTATAAGAATAATTAAAAATATAATGTATTTAGAAGATTGATAGAAAGTGGAGCACATTCGGCCATATACAGATAGTGCAATTTTATTTCCTTAAAATGTCTTTGAGTTTTGCCTTTAATATGGTCTGAAATTACATATATGAGACGAAACGCGATTGTATTGACGAAAATGCGATAGAAAAAGCTATTTCATACACCATATGGTGCCGAATGTGCCCCATCAAATGCCGAAGCTACCCCGGGTAGGGGCACATTCGGCGAATTTGGCTTTTTTACAAAACCGTAAAAATGTTTAACTAATACTAATTTATTGTATGTTTTTGGTACCATTTTTTATAATTAAGTATCATAGGGCAATAATCAGCCATTTAGTTTTTGTATCTGCTGAATAAGTAATGAGATATAGAGCTCTAAACAAAAATTGCCGAAGGTGCCCCAGTCCCCCTATATATTATCGTAGATCCAAGGGACTTTTTAATGTTAAAATCAAGATTGCTACCCACAGTGTTTCGATTTCAATGACAAATTGTATAACTACATATGTATACCTTGGTCTCTTTTAGATAAGAATTAATATGATAATTTCCACAAGAGTCACCAGGCAACCTTCCTTATCTACATGCTTTGTATTTGTTTCATTTTTTGTCTTTACTTGTACAATACCCGCATTTTCGTAAACGTAGTCATGCATTCGGAAGCACAAAATTTATAAATAAATCCAAATATAGTTTTCTCTGGATATAAGACGTTTGGTTGAGTCATCGTTGATATATTTGTTTATAGAAAATAACGTTGTGTAAACTTCTTGTCTTTGAAATAATGGTAGTAGCTGCAAAATTCACAACAGTGTTTTAGAATATGTATCTAATGATTAAATTGTAATCATAGGCACCATAGCTTCTCTGAGAAACTGTTCTGGGCGAAACTGTTTATGATGTTTGATTGAATTACACTGTAGTTCTTAATAACGATCGAATAACTGAATTTCATAACATATCATGGGAATTGTACAAACACACGTTTAATTTGTTATCGATTGTTTTCTATTTCTCAATACAAAACCGACATCCATTGAGAAGGTTTAATTTTTGAACATTATGATAATTGAGAAAATAACAATGGTAATCCCATCCAATCTATTTACAGGCTAAAGGAAGCGTTACTGAGGTATAATTGTGCCATATAAAGTCTTGGAATTACTGAAATAAAGCACTAAAGTAATAAATCTGCTTGCAAACTAATTTGTGAGAGGATCAAACGAGTGGCAGACATACACAAGGATAAATTAAAAATAAGTGACACCACAACCATTGGTACGTTCCATCAACGTTATGAATTCGAGCACAAAACATTTGCTGCATTGTGCATTGCTGATATCAGTAATATTTGGATTTGAAATATTTTCCGGAGGAATAAAAATCGACGAGAATTCATTTACTGTTCTAGACCCTTGGGTGGAATATGGTCAATTCGCCACAGTTCTCCTTTACTTGCTGCGCTTTCTAACGTTCCTCACACTACCACAAGTCCTGTTCAATTTTTGTGGTTTAGTCTTTTACAATGCTTTTCCCGAAAAAGTTGTGCTCAAAGGCAGCCCTTTACTGGCACCCTTTATTTGCATTCGCGTAGTAACCAGGGGCGACTTTCCAGATTTGGTCAAGAGCAATGTATTGAGGAACATGAATACTTGCTTGGACACGGGTCTTGAGAACTTCCTAATCGAAGTGGTGACGGATAAGGCCGTTCACTTGGCCCACCATAGACGTATAAGAGAAATTGTTGTGCCAAAGGAGTACAAAACGAGAACCGGGGCGTTATTCAAGTCAAGGGCCCTGCAATATTGCCTTGAGGATAACGTAAATGTCTTAAATGATAACGACTGGATAGTTCATTTAGACGAAGAGACATTGTTAACCGAGAATTCTGTGCGCGGCATCATAAATTTTGTTCTCGACGGAAAACACCCCTTTGGTCAAGGCTTGATTACCTACGCAAATGAAAATGTTGTTAACTGGCTTACAACGCTGGCAGATAGTTTTCGGGTCTCCGATGATATGGGTAAGCTGCGATTGCAATTCAAGCTGTTTCACAAACCTCTGTTCAGCTGGAAGGGAAGCTACGTGGTTACGCAGGTAAGTAAGCAAGAAACTAAATTGATATGTTCCATTTAAACAGTATATTATTTCAAGTAGTACACATCTCAACAGTGCAACATGCTAAACCACTGAATTATTTGTTACAGGTGGGTGCCGAAAGACAGGTATCTTTTGATAATGGGATTGACGGATCTGTGGCTGAGGACTGTTTCTTTGCAATGCGCGCTTTCGCACAAGGATTTACATTTAACTTCATTGAAGGAGAAATGTACGAAAAGTCACCATTTACTCTGCTAGATTTCTTACAACAACGCAAACGTTGGCTTCAAGGCATTCTTCTGGTGGTCCACTCTAAGATGATTCCTTTGCGACATAAACTGTTGCTTGGAATAAGCGTTTACTCGTGGGTGACAATGCCGCTGTCTACATCGAACATTCTATTTGCCGGCTTGTACCCGATACCATGCCCAAATATTGTAGACTTTGTGTGTGCCTTCATTGCAGCCGTCAATATATATATGTATGTCTTCGGCGTTATTAAGTCATTCTCGCTATATCGGTTTGGTTTGGTGAAATTTCTGGCGTGTGTTCTGGGAGCTGTTTGCACGATTCCAGTCAATGTAGTTATCGAAAATGTTGCGGTTATTTGGGGATTGGTGGGCAAGAAGCATAAATTTTATGTGGTGCAAAAGGACGTGCGAGCGTTGGAATCCGTTGTAGTTTAGAAATTTAGATTCGGTGCACTTTGAAAAGCCTGATTACTCAAAGCTAAATATTTTTTGTGATAGGGCCCAAGTTAAGGCTTCCCATTGCATACAATTGGGAAATGTATTCACCCAACCACCTAAATATAGCAAGTCACTACTAGTTCCGCATACATAAGTACCCACATAAATGTGATGTCACTTCGGGGGAAGCCTCCTTTCATCACAACACATTTTGAGGAACCTCTGAACAAATACGTATTCACGCACATGCAAACACTCACAAACAAATGTTCACCCTCTTCCTTCAACAAGGATCACAACCATATTTTGTAGCTTGTAATTTTATTGTATTGTACACCCCTAGTTGTAAGTCGAATCGTATATTTATTATTACTATTTCCATCCTATCGATACTTGTCTTGTTTGTACATTATAGAATGTGTATCTTAAAAATCCGTGTCGTTTAAATCGAACATTAGGTGGCAAATGAAACAAAGCCCGAATTGAGGTGATGTATTCGATTCAGGAAATTTGTCTTCATCACTAAAGAGACCATGGTTCTTTCGTATACATATGTTGTCTATGCCAAAGTATTATTAAAGGTATGTATTTTATATGTGTTTGTAGGTAATTTGATATAGTTGTGTTGCCTAGGATACAATATTTGTGTACATTAGATATCGAGTGATCCATATTAAAACGAATTCGAGAAACGAGTACGCAGATATTTAATGAAAACTGTGTTTTCTTCTTAAATGTACTTATTCCATACCTATATATTTTACAAAACCCTAAACGTACCAAATAAAATTAAAAATGATCACAAACAATATGGGAATAATTTAATACACACACAACGCTTGACACTTGGCACTATAATTGCTGTTTCATTTTGACCGATGTCCCATGCTCTAACAAGAATCTCATCTCTCTTATAACTTTTGTTATAATTCATTGACCACGGGGTTCAAACACACAGACATATTAAATTACTCTTATTGGAGAGACAGAGATGCAAAAATAATTGTTTGAATTCGTCATATGCTATTCATTTATACATACATATGTGCCACTATATGTACCAATAAATAACATACTATATGATATTTAAGGTCCAATCAAAGATTGAGCTAATTGTATACATATGCATATTCGATTCATCGTGGCGTTTTTTTTTTGCGTCTTTATATGGGACACCTACCCCCAATGTATAAACTGTTAGAACAATTTAATATTATTGCTATTTGTAAGTCGGAAATGTATGTGGATTATTTATTCTCCTTCGCTTCAACACTTACGCCTAAGTTATTGAATACACACACGAAAACATTATATACACAGAAGTACAGAGTAAATCAGTATTTGAAATCAAATTTCTTCTTTAGATAAAACAAGAGAAATAATGTAATATCAATAAGATAGAATAAACAAAATGAAATAATGTCTTGTTAAATTCACAATTAAATTATTTTATGGCTTTATTTAGTATAAAATCACAAAAAATGAGAACAATACCAAAAATAAACATTTATAATAAAATCGTCTCTTTATACATTTTTATTATTTGCATATATTGATTTTTTCCAACATTTTTTGAGAAATTCGATTGAGTGATCATCAAACATATTTTAACAAGACAGGCTATGCTGAGAGTTTCTTAGAAGTTGAGAAGTAGTTTTTAAGAAATAAAACTCTTTTTGGGTGTTTTATTTTTTCCGTCAGGAAATAAAACTCTTTTCGGGAGTTTTATTAACGGAAAAAATAACAATCATTTTTAACAGTTAAAAATAACCGTTACGTTCCCTGGCTGCCTCGAATATTAAAATAATGTATTTCCTTTAAAACTCTTGGACTATTTTTCAAAGTAGAGATCAAATATTACCTGAAGTTAATAAGGAGTATTTAAGGGAACGCCCCCCCCCCCTCTCGATTTTAATTGTTCAAGATTTTCAATGGGCTGGTAAATCAATACCAATGCTTGTTAATGTTTGTAACTTTGCACATATATTTAAAAGAGAAGAAAAATAATTTACAAAAAAATTTGTTATTGTTTTGTTGTTGTTTTTTGTAATTAAAGAAAAGTCCTTAATTTTGATGGCGGGCATGATAACTCCTCACTGGAACATCGGAATCCGAAAATTCCAACGGTGGCTCTCGTATGAACTAGGATTATTGGCTTCGCTCTAAAATTAACAAAATGGTGGACCTTTGAAAAAATATTTTTGGAAAATCGCCGATTTTTTACCAAAAACCAAGTTAAAAATAAGGAAGATCTTCACCGATTGGCTTTATCCTAGTTCATACGATAGCTATACACTCACAGAGAAACGTGTAAAAATTTGAGATCGATTGGGTTATTAGTTTTTGAGTGCCCGCCATTCAGAAAAAAAGGTTTAGAGAAAAACGTGTTTTAAGTTTGAGAAGCCGTCACTTTATGCTGACACAATAAATCGGCTATATCTTCAAGAGTTCTTGAATTTTTGTAGGGACATTATTTAATTAGTGTAGATTCGAATTATATCAACAAAATTTTTGAGCCCGAGAATGGGGGGTCCCCGTAAGCCGAGTTTAGCGAATATCATAAAATAGTTTGCCACTTTAAGAATTTGGAGAGATAAAATATCGAAATTAAATAAAATGGCACACAATTATATAGTTATTATTTCACTACATAATTGTGTGCCAATGCCAAATAATTTAATCGCAGAACGATGTCTTTGACATCTTTCAATGCGGTTTTAGCCGTCATAAAATATTTTTTTATCTGTTGTAGTTGTTGCACCAAATTGCATCAAAATAATACAATAAAATAGTTTGCCACTTTAAGAATTTGGAGAAATAAAATATCGGGCTTAAGTCGAAATCGGAAAACAGCTGTTTTTTCTCAAGTCTTATGTCAAAAATTTCGACTTTGTTTACGTTTTCATAATGGACGTCAATTCACAATAATGCAATTTGACAGCAAACTTGGGAGGTATCGATAATTAGCTGGTCTCCCTTGGTGACCTTATTTATAGGCCATGGCGTAAACAAAGTCGAAATTTTTGACATTAGACTTGAGAAAAAACAGCTGTTTTCCGATTTCGATTGCTATCTTGGTGACCTTTTTAATAGATCATGGCCTATAAATAAGGTCACCCAAGGAGACCAGCTGATAATCGATACCTCTCAAGTTTGCTGCCAAAATGCATTATTGTGAATTGACTTACATTATGAAAACGTAAACAAAGTCAAAATTTTTGACATTAGACTTGAGAAAAAACAGCTGTTTTCCGATTTCGATTGCTACCTGGGTAACCTTATTTATAGATCTTGTTATGCGTGGTTTTATATTTGTCGGGATCGGGATAGGTGTTGAGAGTTTCTCTCTCTTGGGAGAGTAATTAGAGTTGCGCTATTTTTAATTTTGTAACAAGCGTACTTTTTGTTCACAAAAGGTACGAATTGACATAAACGTACCAAAACAAAAATTAGATTTTTTTATTATTCGTGAATACATTTACGCTCAAATTATAAAATATATTATTTATGCAAATAACTGGTATAAATATTGGCCAATATTTCTCGATAATTATGATTTATTATCATTTGAAGTAGAATTTTAGGTACCTTTTCGTACTTTTTTGTTCCTACCTGTGGTAATGTTTTCCAACACAATTCACAATTTACCACTAAGAGAGAGAGAAACTCTCAACACCGATCCCGATCCTGACAAATATAAAACCACGCTATAGAACTTATGTTTGTTGGACAGTCACTAATCGATAAAAATCTGACAGCCGAATTGATAGTGTGTACTCACCTTTACAAATAAATGCGAAAGCCTGCAAGTTGCGAATGTGTAAACATCGATTTATTTTTTTAGAATAGCAATAAATATTAAATATTTCGACAATAGCCAGGAATTTGTTTTGAAGGAAAACTAAATAATGTCGGACGAATACGCTTGTGTGGCCAAAAGTAAACTTAAATTGAAAAATGATGCTGGAATAAAGAAAAAAAAGAAGAAGAAAAGTAAGGATAGAGAAAAAGAACAAGAGGTTTTGCAACAAGCAATATCCAATGAAAGATCCAGCACTGCATCATTGACGAAGGCGGAGTTGGCGTTCAAACAACAGCAGGAAAAAATGGTAATGGACTAGCAATACAATAATTGCAAATACAAAACAAATAACCAATTGGTTCATGTTTTTTCTTGCAGAGAAATAAACGTATTCTGGAGAAGGCAACCACAACACACAAAGAGAGAGTTGAAAAATTCAATGAACACTTGGACACCTTGACTGAACACTTTGATATACCCAAGGTTTCGTGGACCAAATAGATGTTTCGATTTCTCAAATCATATTAATGGCGCATTGCAAGCAATATAACACGAATCGTTCCCGACCTATATCAATTCATCTTCTATCATCGTATACTATATACAATAGAGAATAAATATATTTATTCATTTAATTAAATAAATATTATTATTCAAAACGTGTGAGTAAACGTTGGTTGGTTTAGGTGTTCAAACGAGCAAGCAATGAAATTTCTCACAAATGCATAGAGCTGTTGAAAAGTAGTGCTTGATATATCGCTCATTCGCTGCAAGGCCGGCATAAATCAAAAATATCAATTTTGCAGAAAATGCGTTTTGAGTTGACAATTTACTCACACTTTATATGGGACAGAGGAACTTCTACAGCTTCTCAATTAGAGTGTGTATGATATAATCATCTGAATTTTTTACACAATATGAAGTCTGATATAGGGAACAATTCTGCATTATTAACTAAAAAATCACGATTTTTGACTTATGCCGGTCTTGCACAAGTGAGCGATATGTTAAACCCAACCACAACTTGGGATGGTTGTGTTTCGTTAAAAAATCCTCGAACAGGATATAGCCGTCCTCATGTACCTTACACATTATAAATATATACAGTAACTATCGCGTATATTTACGATTTTTAGAGCATATAAACTGAAACGCTTAACGGCATCCAAGACTTATATGTTATTGATGTTTGACTTGACGAAAAATATATAATAAACCATGCAATCGTGTTGATATCACGTCTGGATATTGTTGGTTATACATTAAGTAGTGCCCGAAACCCATCCTAAGTCATACCAAACAGGCATGAGTATAACAACAATAATATTTACTCTAATATTTATTTACTTATGTAATATTTCATATACAGTTTGCAATAGCGGAAATACTTTGTGTTTTATACAGGTACCACTAAAATCGTCTGTGTTAAGAGAAAATATCATTGCACCGCCCAAACCATGTTTTTTAATGTAATCACTTTTGCAGGACATACTGATAGTATTCTCAAATGAAATCCATTCGGTCCCGCTGCTTGCATATGGAGAACACGATTCTTTGTCATATTCCAATGTAGAGAGAACATTTTTCTGCAGAAACCAGCATATTTCGGATGCTGACACAAAACCTTGATTACCAGTAAAACCATACCCAGAGGCTGGAGCGCCAATCTTCGTGTTGAAAGGATTTACTAAACTGTAACAAAGTTATTTCTGTGGGTATTATTTTAAATGCAATCTTGACATATATGTACCTAAACGAATGTCCATAAGTGGGTAAACCCACCACCACCTTCTTAGGTTCCAAGCCGTTTTCAATCCACCAGTGAACGGAATAATTTATATTAAGGGTTGACAAAATGGAAAGTTCAGTCTTCCTTGGGTAAAGTGGTGCATTAATTCCTAAAAGATAACCATGATAAAATCCTGATTGTAGTTTCGCTTTAGAGTCGGTACCTGTAAATGGTGTTCCCTTAGTATAGAAATGGTAATCGTATGTCATTATATTAACATGGTCGGCATATTTGTTTATTTCGGATACATCATATGAAAACACAGAAATGCCTTCGGGAGCTGCCACGGCCAAAGAAAGCAAATAATTTCGTTTTTCTCGTTTGTACTCCTGACGAATTTCATATAATAATTGGGAAAAATGCATGCGCTCTCGGTTATATGCGCTTGGAAACTCCCAATCTAAATCACAGCCATCCAACTTGTAGTCAAATAGTATGGACTTTAATGACTGAATGAAACGTTTTCGGCTTTGATGGTTCTTGACCATTTCCGGGAACCCATCACTGGCAACACTCCCACCGCCAATCCATAATAAGAACTTCAATGTGGGATATTTACTGCGCAGTTTTGGTACATCATTTACCAACACGTTCTTCTGATCGTTACTTATTACTATTGTTGAATTGCTTATAACGAACATCCCCACATTTATGTGCGTACACAAGGTGCCATTTACATCCGTCAAATTTAGGTCAACGAAGTTGCTATTGGAATCTGGTGTACAATAGTAACATACTAACAATGTTTGATTGGTAACAGGACTAATGACGTCTAAATCATTTGATATGTATTCTCTTTCGTCTTCGGAATGCAAATATTTTATACGGAATGTTGAATTTTTAATTAAGCGAAAATCGTGCGAGTCTCTATTCTGCTCCCGAAAGGCTAAACTATATAAGTAAGCCCTCTGTGACCAAGCGACAGTCGACGAATATGAATATCGATGAATATCATTGTAGAAAGGGCTATAAACAAATTCCCAGACTTCATACACTAAAAATGTTGAAAATGCACATAGACTAACCAAGAATAGTAAGCGCCACTTCAAATGGGTGTAGCTATATTTGAAATCGGAAAGGTTGGAGTGTTTAATTTTGAACATGATATAAATATGTTATTTCTCACCTTAATCCGCTTGATTCATCTATTAGTTCGTAAGTGGTGGTAGTAGCCATTTGTCAAATCACAACACAGCGCACCTAACGCCCCACAAATATGTTTCGCTCCAATTTTTTGTGAATGACTCGTTTGTCATAAACATAATACCAATTGCTGTTTTTTCTGTAATTATTGTTAAATGTTTATTTGTTATCGGACATTTGCCACCAATCTGACCCAGATATCAGTCGAATTCAATTCGTACACAAAAACAGCTGTTTTCACAGGATTCAATGCGATTCAGTGATGATTTGTATCGGCTGTATGATATATTAGTTGTGTTCCAGAACTTACAATACAATAGTGCAATTACATTTGGATATACGAAATCCAACAAAATGTTGTTGTTGTATTGTGGTTGTTTTTTATATAAAACTATTCCTTTTTTGCCGATACCTGGAGCATCCGAATCGCAATATGCCAACGCAATTAGAAAGAATACATATCAGGCTATGGTATTTAACTAGGATTATTTACTTCGCTCCAAAATTGGGGGACCATGGTAAATTATTTTTTTGCCTATTTTCAACCACAAACCAAGCTGGAAAATAGGGAATATCTTCATCTCGTTCATACGATAGATGTGTAGGTCCAATATAAACGATTGGATTAATAGTTTTTGAGCTATCCTGTACGCCAAACGTAAAAACACTGTATCGGAGAAACGCGTTAATGTGTTCAGCAGCGATTTCGCTACCACATGTCGCTTACACAAAAAAATTATTACATTTTCAGGAGTTTTTGAATTTTTGTGATTTAAAGTAGTACAGAATATACCTCTACCTTCTGGACTATAATGTCAGAATAAATAAAAACAAATGCAACAAGTCGCTATGTTCATTTGTAACATTTTACCAAAAACGCGAAAAGTAATTAAAATGTCAGGTTTTCTCTTCAAAATTGAGTTTGGGATTACGATTACTTTGGCATAACAAGCCACAAATATGTGCAAACAATGAATTAAACCGGTTATTAGATTAGCTTTAAATTTAATTTACACGTTTGTAAAATGTTGACCCTTTGCGGAGGAGGGAACTTTATCTATGTGATGTAAACAAATTACGATTTGCAAACCGGATATTCCGTTCGCTTCATATAATATTTATACTTTCTTATAATTTTTTTTTCTTTATTAACATAGTGGAATACAAAAACAAAATTCCTTTTCGTTTGGTAAAGCTGTCGTGTGGTTGACAATCAAATACACAAATGAATAATGAATATTTTCGCCAAAAACTAATTGTCAACATAACAAATTATTTCTTATAACAACAATGATGTTTTGGTAAAATGTTAGTTGTTGTAGCAGCCCTATTGCTTTTACACAATGGGCTGAGGTCACCTCAGACGTTGGCCGAGTAAGTCTCGGGTCCTAGACCCCTCTCGTAAAACGTAAAATGTTAGTTGTTGTAGCTGATTCATACACATTATGAACTCACTTAGCGCCACCTTTTCTTTTTAAAGAACTCCAAAAATGACAATACGACTGTTAGAAAATTGCCGTTATCTCAGTGAATTTCTATAAATTATTCTATTTTTAACCCTTTCAGTGTCAAAAAAAATTTTATCGGTATAAACATCTAAAATTTTGTACCTAAAATCATTTGAAGGCACAAAGTTTAGAAAAAAAAGCTATTCTTATTTTAACCCTCCTTTTTCATTGCAAAGCTTAGGTCATTAAGCTCGACTCGAACGAGTATAAATAATCCCTTAAAAATTACTTTCAAATGATCCTTGCCCTTTCAAAGCAAAATTCAAATAACTAAAATATTAAAGTTTAAAAAATAAATTCGTGTTTTTGATGAAAAAAATCTCTGGCGTCATCTGGGTTAAATACAACTTTTTAATAACTTTAAATTTTTATAAAAATTATATACATATATGAAAAATATTCACAATACGTATTGTTGTTGAGGTACCTCAAGAATGATTCCTCAAAATTTGAAGCATTTTACAAAATTTAAACATTTTACATTTTTATTTAAAAAAAAGGTTATTGGTGGTAGTGTTAATAAGGTGTATTATTATACAATGTAGGGTACCTTTTGTCAGAAAGGAGAAAATGCACCTCTACCTTATGGGCTATAATGTCAGAATAAATGAAAACAAATGCAACAAGTCGTTCTGTTCATTTAACATATTTGTAACATTTTACCAAAAAAGCAAAAAATGAGTGGAATGTTAGGTTTATTTTTCAAAATCGAGTTGGGGATATGATTTACATGTTGATTCATTCACAAATCATACATTTCTCCTTATATAATATTGTAAAGTTCATCTCCAAACAATTCGATTTTCGAATACATTTTGTTATATTTTTCAAAACGTCCTTTTGACTTGATATTTTCTGAAACAAACGGACGTAACTACAACACAATTGTAGTACATCAAGGTGAATACTTATTATCCGTTTGAGACTAAAATTTGTACAGCGTACCAAATTGAGTCCGGAGTGACGTGTGTTAAGTTTGGTTGAAATCGGTTCGGATTTAGACATAGCTCCCACATATATTTTCGGCAGATTTTGTGTAAATGGTGCATTATAGCCCCTATATTTCTTTAGATTTGCCCGAAACTTAGCACAGCGTACTGAATTGAGTCTAGAGTGATGTGTGTGAAGTTTCGTGAAAATCGGTTCAGATTTCGATATAGCTCCCATATACAGTTTCGACCGATTTTATGTATATGGTGTACCAAAGTCCCTATATATCATTCGTTTTACACGAAATTTGGCAGAATGATGTGAGTTGAGTTTCCTGAAAATCGGTCCAGATTTAGATAAAGCTCACATATATATTTTCGCCCGATGTAATGTAAATGGTGTATCAAAGTCCCTATAGATATATCGATTTGCAGGAAATTCGACATAGCGTAATGATTTATATATAGCTCCCATATATATTTTCCTCCGATTTAATGTAAATGGTGCACGAAATTTGGCATAGCGTAATGAATTAGGTCTAGAATGATGTGTGTTAAGTGTCGTGAAAATCGGTTCAGATTTAGATATAGCTCCTATATATCTTTTCTTCCGATTTTATGTAAATTGTGCACTAAAGACCCAAAGTTTGTCCGATTGTCACACAATTTTGTACAATGAACTGTAGTTAATATAAGTTAATCTCTGGCAAGTCTCATTGAAATGGGTACACATTAATATATATAATATATTTATAGCAACTCTACATCTGACCAAATGCAAAATTTAGTATAGGTTACAGAATGACATGTTTATGAATTCACTTTCGTGTTTATGGTCCTTCAACGTCGGCCCCGTCCGACTTTACTACTTTTCTTACTGGTTTATTTTTATTCTCAAACTGAATAAAGTTGATGTTAATCACAAATAAATCACTTACCAAAATTATCCCTTGTCAAAAATCTAAACTCTTTTATTGTCGCAGCAGTCGATTTTTCCGAATATCCGTTTTATAACACAAACATTTCCATAAAAAATATAGTTTTTCTCCACATTTTTTTTCAAATGACACTTGCACACTCCTGCGCCTAATATACAGGCAAAATGCACACACACATTCACGCATTTGTTCTCCTTATGTATTTTGACCACGGCTTTGTTTTTAAACCACTGACTTCAACGATGCTTTTCACAAGAATAAATTTGTCTTTCGGTTACTTGTTTTGGGAAAAAATCCTCTATTGGCATTTGTTTCAATGACAGTTGTACAATTGCTTTTAACAAAATATTCCATTTAACAAAAAATTGTTTACTGTTTATTCACACAACAAACTTTAAAGCACAGATCGATCAACCAAGCATTCCCAAACCGTTAACTTTGACAGAGTTGCCACAGTATAAATTGCAATAGTCATTCAAAATTCAGGGATTGATAGATCGATAAATGTTGAAGAATAATTTGCTGCAACCATGATGCAATAATAGGTGTGTCTGGTTACATTTCCAGTAACATTTATTCAGTAAGTTCTAGTTCAGAGAATAAGCCTTTTTTACTCTCTTTTGCGATAATACTGAGAAAAGTAAACAGGCAACATTTAGTAAGATTTAGCAAATAAACAGCTGATTCAAGAAAAAATTTGATTTGCGCCAAATTAATAAACAAACAAAGGACAAACACAATTATTTGTATTGCTTTCAATATTAAAAATAAAATGAACAATAAAAGAAAAATTGATTTGGTATGTTCCCCGGGAACATTTATGCTTCCAGCATCAATACATTGCCCTCTATCTGGAACTTGTCTAAAAATATATAAGGAATTAGTTTCTAATTTAATGAAACTTTGCATTACTTACGAGATTTCTTCCATTTTCAGTAATTTTTATACAATTTAACTTCAAATTGAACTTTACAAATTAAAAAAATGTTTTGAATAATTTTTGTGTTTGCAAACTCAGCCATCTGATATCAAGATGGCTGAGTTTGCAAAATTTTACTGAATAACATTCTTTCAGTAAACTCCAGTAAGTTTGTTGTTGTTGAACTGTCAAACGTGCTCTCGCACTTGACTCTCTTTTACTGGATTTTTGTGTAAACAGGCAACATTTAGTAACATTTGGTAACAATTGTTACCAAATATCGAGTAAACAGACAGAGCTAATAAGGTGATTTATCACAACAAAATCCTTTGATTTTAGGTTCGTTCGTTTACTCAATAAGTTGTACGAATTTGTACAAATTATTACAAAATGTTGTTCGTTTACCCAAAAGTCCAGTAAAAGAGAGTGAATTGAGAGAGCAGATTTGACAGTTGTGTTACTGAGTATTTGCAAATTCTTACAAGGAAAATTTACTTAGTAAGAATTTTCTTGTACCATCAGCTGATATTTAATTAGCTGTTTTGTTATGTTTTGTAAACAAACAACGAAATTGTTATCAAGCAAATTGATTGTTTTGTGAATTTTATTTTGATTTTGTATCATTAAACAGGAAAATGGATGAAGAAAACGCATGTATTTATAAAAAAAAACTAAAATGTTCCCTTGTTATCAATTTTTCTAATAAAAATGCTGTTTTTTTTAGTTTGCGCCAAGTTGTTTGTTGTTTTAATCAGCTGTGTCGAAACAATCTTTTTATTGGATGTTGTTCGTTTACTTTTTGCAGTTTTCTCTCTAGAGAAGGAAAAATTCGTATTTACTCTCTGCAAATTCTTACTGAGTAAATATTACTGGGAAAGTAAACGAACGAACCTTTTGTCTCAACCATCTGTCAAATTTTTCCTTATAATATTTCACATAGTTTGCAACTTTGCACATCGAATTTAAGTTAAATTAACCACAGTTAACCGAGACATCAGCTGAGCTAAATGGACTACCTATTTATTGTGCCATGGTCTGCACATGACATTAAATATTTCAATACAAAACGCCGATTAATCGATTAGTTAAAAGTCGACTTACATATCCATACTCTGCATTCGCGTCCCACCTGATACGTAAACAATTCAGACCCCATTTAGTCTCCATCCCACCTCATTCGTAACTTTCGGTTCTCCACTTTGACTTTTTCTTTATCGGGCATTTTGTCTTATCCCATCCCATTCGTAACAAGGGGAACGTTTTCCAATGTTTCTGCAGTAAGAGGTGGAAGTGAGCCGACCCGCTCATTTTATAAGCGCCGACGATTTTATCGGCTCAAACCATGTAACCGATTTTTAGCTTTGGGTTTTCGATACCATTTTCCCGTACTGCAAGAATATACTATTTTTTTCGATATCATAAAGTAAAAATTGTTATCCTAGTAAAAATAGTAGATTATTGCAGTACTTTTTGTACTGTCGAATCTTGCAGTACATTTGTACATATGTACATATGGCGTGCTGCCGCATATAGGCTTGTATATAATGCACCGCCGAAAAAATCGAAATCACTCGGCATCTTCGCATCAATCAATCTGGCAATTCTATTCTGGCTAACAATTCCAGTAGTCATAAAATTGTTAAACCATATAAACCATAAAAGTTAAGAATGACTTCGGCCACGGTAAGAAATGTAAGAAATTTTCAATGAGTTGTTTACGTATTCGATGTGTCACACGGTGGAGGTTGTATTGCCAAAAATGTGTTGTCCTCATTTTTCAAAATATTTGTAATATCATTGACTATATGGAAATGTAAACAAACTGATGAACACCTTACTATCAGTTTTCGACACGACTTCGCTTCTCGGCAATTTCACAGTCGATGATATTGTTTTTGTAAGGAATGAACGCCAGTTCGTCTACATTTATAAACGCATAAAATAAAACAATATTCGTTGTGTTGGCAGACGAAGTCGTGTCCAAAACGTCATTCGCTATAGTACTGATTTTCCCCATCCAGGTGCCACTGCTTGATGACGATACCATCCCATTTGGCGAGGAAGATGATATGCGAGATCCAAATGCTGGAGTAAAGAAATATTCGTATGCAACGTTTAAATCACAATATTAGTATATATTACAATAGTACTACTGACTACCCCCCTTTTCAGGCACCCATACGTCACATTCTTCCATCTATTCTTTCGCAGTGCAGCGATTGTGATATATATGTTTTGTGGATGGTTCAGTGATTCCTTCATCACAAGTTTTGTTTTTGTGGTATTATTTCTGTCGGCTGACTTTTGGACTGTAAAGAATATTACCGGTCGTCTTCTAGTTGGCTTGCGCTGGTGGAATTACGTGGATGACGAGGGTGTATCACATTGGCTATACGAAGCTAAAAAGGTAGACTTGACTTTGAAATCTAAATTTTTTATTGTATGTTTATGTATTTGTAGGGAAACGTAAACAATCACGAGGCGCGTATATTCTGGTTGGGATTAATATTGTGTCCAGTTTTTTGGAGTCTCTTTTTTATTGTTGCTTTGTTCGGATTGAAATTCAAGTGGCTGCTGTTGGTAATGATCGCCCTTGCCCTAAACGGTGCAAATTTATACGGGTACGTTAAATGTAATTTTGGAGCCAACAAGGATTTGAATTCTGCTGCCACCGACTTTGTAAAGACCCAAATTTTCAAAAACGCCATGGACATTATGACAAAGCCGAGCACCCAACCTACTACTGCACGACCCACTGGTGTAATATAATACACCTTTACCAATAGTTCTCCATGTATTTGTAAATATTTAAAAACGAATTACATTAATCTCCATACAGTGGAGGCATATATTTGCCTTTAATGGAGTAGTTCCATTGTTTATTAAGCTAAAATAATATATAACATTCTTAATAAAAGATAAACGTATTTTGACAACACTAATACATATAAAATAAGAACAACTACTGAATGTTCACACATATTTAAATCAAACATCGTAATGGCGAAATGTGTACATCATCATGTCTTCATCTTCAACAAATCTTGAATCTGTGTTTTATATGCTTCTTTGCATTCGTTTAAATCCATTTCAAGCTCTTCACAGCGTTCCACTTTCTCGCCATACATTTGCAATAGAGCGTCGTACCTGGTTTGCAAGTCGTTGTAATTTGCCTCCATTAGCTCCAACGACTGTATTTTATCCTGAATCTAAAAACGCATAATTAAAATGATGGAATAAATGCTAATTTTTTGGGTATATTCATTATTTTGCCATATTTACGTACATTTTCCATTTCTATGGAAAGTTGGGTAAGTTCCTCCTGCAGTATGCTCTTCTCAGACTGTACTCGTGAAAGTTCCCATTGAGTTTGAGCCAGTTCACCTTCCCTCTGCTTTAGCATAGATTGTAAATATTCAAAATTGTTTGTCGTATTAGCAGCTATAAAATGAAAATTTAATCCTTGCCCAGGTACTGGTCTTCCGCCAGCATTAGAAATGCAATCGAAATCATCCTATTTAATAATGTATATAGTCATGTGTATTTGTAAATATTGTAAGGTAAATAATCTTAAGAACCTCTTGGTGCTGCCAATCTATACTGCCCCCATCTTCAATGGAATTTACCCCACCGCTTGCGGTGGGAGAATGTCTATTAACATCAACTGAAACGGAATTGGGCAACTCTCCGAATGTGCTTGCCGCCTGTTCGCGTTCTTGCTGCAAACTTTCTACGGATGCACTTAGTCTGTGTTCAGCTTCATCAAGACGATCTTCCAACGTTTTAATTTTTGATTTGCTTTGCTCTAGCGCTTGCATCAGTTCGGAAAGTTTCCTACAAATACAGGTGATATTATTCCAAATTATATAAACTAAAACATTGGTATCGCTTTTGATGTAAATTACCTACTGTAATCCGTTTCCTTTTGGTTCATTTCTAATTGCAATGTAATTTTGGTTTTTTCTTCCTGCATTTGCACTTTGGACAGGGTTTCTTCTAACTCTTGACACCGTGATTTCAGTGATCCAATTTGCTCTCTCGATGTTTCTTCAATGCGTTCTAGAGAATGGAGACGTGTTTTAGTGGCTTCCAGTTTTTCTAATAGGGATTTTTCTTCTCTGTTCCAGTTATTGGTTCTCTGATTTAATGTTTGTTGTAGTGATTCCAAGTGACGCATTAATGGTATAGTTGTTTGGCTTATCTCGTGGGTTGACGATTCTGCTCTTAGCTCTGCCGCTTCCAAGCGACCTATTAGATCTCGGTTTTCTTCTCTCAGTTGCTGTTCCTTCTTGATAGCTGTAAGCTCTGTCGACCTCAACTTTTCAACAAATTCTTGAAGCTGTCGTTGTAGCTCTTGATTTTCTGCCTGTAGTTGTAACTTTTCCTTCTCCGCTGTTTGAATCGCGGTTTTTGAAATGGACAGGTCGGAATGTTGCTTGGAGCGTTGCTGTAGTTCTACTTTTACCGCCTCAAAACTATGTTGCAGTGTTATAAGCTTTTGTTGGGTGTCTTCAAGCTTGCTCCGGAGAGAGTTATTCTCCTTTTCTAATTTTTGATTTTCTGATGACATTTTATGTACAGCTTCAATTTGTGTCCGTTCAACATCTTCCTTGGCTGAAAGAGTTTTTTTAAGTCGTTCTATTTCTTCGTTGGTGGCAGTCAGTTGCTCACGCAACGCCTTCATTTGCACCTCTACGTTTTTCTCCTTGGAACGCAGCTTTTTTATAATATTTGATTGTTGCAAAATTTCCTTAGACAGTTTTTCGCCCTCTTGTCGAAGTTCTGCTACCATATTTCGACTTTCGTCTAACTCATGAGCGAAATCATGCTTTGGAATTTTTCCTTGCAACTCCTTGATTTCGGTTCTTAATGCGTCCCTTTCTCGTATGCAATTTTGGAATTTTTTCTCTAAAGCTGATAATCGTTTGGTGTACTCTTCTGTTGGTGGCAAGCCGTCGGCATTCATTACAGCCAATAACTCGTTGTTGCGTTCCTGTAATTCAGAATTGCGTTGTTCTGATTGAAGCAAACGAAGTTCTCTGGCTTCAACTATGCTGTTCAATTCCGATATGCGCCTTAATAGTTTCTCTACTTCGTCCTCTGATGTCGATTCAATGGATAAAACTGAAATCTCCGATGGCTCACGACAATGTCCTGTTTTATTCGAAGCATTGCTAGTCGTTCCCTCTGTGTTTGTCCTCAAATTCGTCTTCTTTTCGTCTTTTTGCGGACTGGTCCTAGTCGTGGTGCTTGGATTTGATATTATTTCAATGTCAGAGGAAGTAGCTGTTTCCATTTCATCATTTGATGTATGCGCAGATTGTGTATTGCTCACATAAACCTTCTCTTCACTAGCGGAACCTAGGCCACTTCTTAGAGAATTCAGTTGCACATCTTCAAAACTTTGCGTTGAATCTGAGTCGATAGTTTGCAGATCGTATGACACATCTTCTCTGACGTTTCTGCCCTGATTTTTGGAACGGTCTAAGTTATCAAGTTTTTGAGCTTCTGCTAGATCTAGTAAAGTATATACAGTTATAACCCACTCTCGCAAACAATATCATTAGATTTACATATATGTCATATTAATTTCGGCTTACCATTGTTCTCTTCACATGTAACCAATGTCGTGGTGGAACTTGCCTGATTTTCCTCGTCAGCACAGACATCACCAGAACTTCCAATAATCACTATACTATCTGTTGTCCTCTCCGGAAATACTACTTCAGATTTCGATGTCATATCTCCAGTAGGCAACACGTCGACAGATTCAGATCCATCTCGCTCGTCACTGAATAAAGTAATTTGTTGCGGGGACAAAGTGCCAACGGATGATACTAACGTTGACGCTGTCGAAGTACGTCTATTTCCTGCAGTATCTACGTCGTTTTCATTGTCATTGTTACATTGTGGTGGCTCCTTAAATGGGTTTGATTCGTCTGTACTATTTTCCGCGTTATTTATATCATCATCTTCTTGGATATCTAGAACTTTGTCAATTTTCTTTTGAGCTTCTTTCAGTGCTTTGGCAAGGCCTGCAAAATTTTTGGTATCAAACCAACTCATATTTCCATTTTTCTCTCGGATCTAAGAAATCAACAGCAAAGCTCATTTAAAGTGTTAATCAAAAACTAAAGCAAAAAGCGACTATTGTGATTGAATTCCCGTCAAGCTTGACAACATTTTTGTTTACGTTTTCGCAAGATCTATTAATAAGGTCACCCAAGTAGCAATGGAAATCGGAAAACAGATGTTTTTTCTCAAGTACATGGCCTATAAATAAGGTCACCCAAGGAGACCAGCTGATAATCGATACCTCTCAAGTTTGCTGCCAAAATGTATTATTGTGAATTGGCTTACATTATGAAAACGTAAACAAAGTCGAAATTTTTGACATTAGACTTGAGAAAAAACAGCTATTTTCCGATTTCGATTGCTACCTGGGTGACCTTATTTATCAATTCTGGTCCTGATTGAGATTAGGCGAGTTTAAACGGCATTTACGGTTAACGTACTTTATGAGGATTTATTTGACAATTAGGCAATGGAATTGGCAATTGAAAGCCACTGGGTTGTCCTTGCTCATCCCTATTTGTTAGTGTTACAATGTAGGGAGGGATACAACTTGACAAACTGACGCTGGTACAAATCATGCGACTAAGATTAATTTATGTGAACCTTGTGATTGTATTTCTGGTAATAAGTACACATATCTTTAGATCCTTCTTTTGTTGCCCGGGATGTTTACAGCGCTATGTTGATTTTTTTATTATTTTTGTTGAATGAAGCTTAATCAAAAACTAAACGTTAACAAACAATTTTTTTGTATTGCTTACATTCATGGTTGCATTTATTTGACAGACTCAGGTACAAAAACGCACTGTTGTATTAGAATTTTTGAAATGAGACTACCTTTATTATTTTGCCATAATAAAGGTAGTCTCATTTTTCAAGGGCCATGAATATTTTTCAAGGGCCAACTGAGGCGTGGATTTATTAAAGAATATTTTTTCAAGGGCCAACTGAGGCGTGGATTTATTAAAGAATATTTTTCAAGGGCCAACTGAGGCGTGGATTTATTAAAGAATATTTTTCAAGGGCCAACTGAGGCGTGGATTTATTAAAGAATATTTTTCAAGGGCCAACTGAGGCGTGGATTTATTAAAGAATATTTTTCAAGGGCCAACTGAGGCGTGGATTTATTAAAGAATATTTTTCAAGGGCCAACTGAGGCGTGGATTTATTAAAGAATATTTTTCAACTGAGGCGTGGATTTATTAAAGAATATTTTTCAAGGGCCAACTGAGGCGTGGATTTATTAAAGAATATTTTTCAAGGGCCAACTGAGGCGTGGATTTATTAAAGAATATTTTTCAAGGGCCAACTGAGGCGTGGATTTATTAAAGAATATTTTTCAAGGGCCAACTGAGGCGTGGATTTATTAAAGAATATTTTTCAAGGGCCAACTGAGGCGTGGATTTATTAAAGAATATTTTTCAAGGGCCAACTGAGGCGTGGATTTATTAAAGAATATTTTTCAAGGGCCAACTGAGGCGTGGATTTATTAAAGAATATTTTTCAAGGGCCAACTGAGGCGTGGATTTATTAAAGAATATTTTTCAAGGGCCAACTGAGGCGTGGATTTATTAAAGAATATTTTTCAAGGGCCAACTGAGGCGTGGATTTATTAAAGAATATTTTTCAAGGGCCAACTGAGGCGTGGATTTATTAAAGAATATTTTTCAAGGGCCAACTGAGGCGTGGATTTATTAAAGAATATTTTTCAAGGGCCAACTGAGGCGTGGAAGAATATTTTTCAAGGGCCAACTGAGGCGTGGATTTATTAAAGAATATTTTTCAAGGGCCAACTTTTTATTAAAGAATATTTTTCAAGGGCCAACTGAGGCGTGGATTTATTAAAGAATATTTTTCAAGGGCCAACTGAGGCGTGGATTTATTAAAGAATATTTTTCAAGGGCCAACTGAGGCATTTATTAAAGAATATTTTTCAAGCACTGAGGCGTGGATTTATTAAAGAATATTTTTCAAGGGCCAACTGAGGCGTGGATTTATTAAAGAATATTTTTCAAGGGCCAACTGAGGCGTGGATTTATTAAAGAATATTTTTCAAGGGCCAACTGAGGCGTGGATTTATTATATTAAAGAATATTTTTCAAGGGCCAACTGAGGCGTGGATTTATTAAAGAATATTTTTCAAGGGCCAACTGAGGCGTGGATTTATTAAAGAATATTTTTCAAGATGTGAAGAAGACAATGCAGCGGAACACAGCTATAGTGAAATAGTGAAGAGGAACAAGACAGAAGGAATATCAAATATCATGATGCAATAATAAGGTGATGTATGCAAACAAAAACATTTATTTTTAAGCACACGTCCCTTTCCACCCATTGGTTAATTGCATGGCACAATTATATTTTGAAAAATCACTCAACAGGAAAATTGGAAATGCATACAATTCGAAATTGTTCTTTATTAAATGTCCTCCCGTATTCAATTTACTCAATCTGCCTGCTGGGAAAGTTTGAGAAAGCGAAAGATACGCTTGGAATGTGCAATTTTTAGAAAATAAACCAAGTATTTATAAAAAAAATTCGAAAGTCGATCTTGAAAAGTCGACTTTGCAATTTCTTCAAAGATCAAAATTCGACTTGGACTTTCTCATGGCCTATAAATAAGGTCACCAAGGGAGACCAGCTGATTATCGATACCTCTCAAGTTTGCTGTCAAAATGCATTATTGTGAATTGACTTCCATTATGAAAATGTAAACAAAGTCAAAATTTTTGACATTGGACTTGAGAAAAAACAGCTGTTTTCCGATTTCGATTGCTATCTTGGTGACCTTATTAATAGATCTTGGACTTTCTGACTCATGGCCTATAAATAAGGTCACCAAGATAGCAATCGAAATCGGAAAACAGCTGTTTTTTCTCAAGTCTAATGTCAAAAATTTCGACTTTGTTTACGTTTTCATAATTGACGTAAATTCACAATAATGCATTTTGGCTTACATTATGAAAACGTAAACAAAGTCGAAATTTTTGACATTAGACTTGAGAAAAAACAGCTATTTTCCGATTTCGATTGCTACCTGGGTGACCTTATTTATCAATTTTGGTCCTGATTGATATTAGGCGAGTTTAAACGGCATTTACGGTTAACGTACTTTATGAGGATTTATTTGACAATTAGGCAATGGAATTGGCAATTGAAAGCCACTGGGTTGTCCTTGCTCATCCCTATTTGTTAGTGTTACAATGTAGGGAGGGATACAACTTGACAAACTGACGCTGGTACAGATCATGCGACTAAGATTAATTTATGTGAACCTTGTGATTGTATTTCTGGTTATAAGTACACATATCTTTAGATCCTTCTTTTGTTGCCCGGGATGTTTACAGCGCTATGTTGATTTTTTTTTATTATTTTTGTTGAATGAAGCTTAATCAAAAACTAAACGTCAACAAACAATTTTTTTGTATTGCTTACATTTATGGTTGCATTTATTTGACTGACTCAGGTACAAAAACGCACTGTTGTATTAGAATTTTTGAAATGAGACTACCTTTATTATTTTGCCATGAGTACAGAAGCTTAATCAAAAACTAAACTGTAACAAACAATGTTTTTGTATTGCTTACATTCATGGTTACATTTATTTGACAGACTCAGGTACAAAAATGCACAGTTGTATTAGAATTTTTGAAATGAGACTACCTTTATTATTTTGCCATGAGTACAGTAAAGCAAGATGTGAAGAAGACAATGCTGCGGAACACAGCTATAGTGAAATAGTGAAGAGGAACAAGACAGAAGGAATATCAAATATCATGATGCAATAATAAAGTGATGTATGCAAACAAAAACATTTATTTTTAAGCACACGTCCCTTTCCACCCATTGGTTAATTGCATGGCACAATTATATTTTGAAAAATCACTCAACAGGAAAATTGGAAATGCATACAATTCGAAATTATTCTTTATTAAATGTCCTCCCGTATTCAATTTACTCAATCTGCCTGCTGGGAAAGTTTTAGAAAGCGAAAGATACGCTTGGAATGTGCAATTTTTAGAAAATAAACCAGGTATTTATAAAAAAATTCGAAAGTCGATCTTGAAAAGTCGACTTTGCAATTTCTTCAAAGATCAAAATTCGACTTGGACTTTCTCATGGCCTATAAATAAGGTCACCAAGGGAGACCAGCTGATTATCGATACCTCTCAAGTTTGCTGTCAAAATGCATTATTGTGAATTGACTTCCATTATGAAAATGTAAACAAAGTCAAAATTTTTGACATTGGACTTGAGAAAAAACAGCTGTTTTCCGATTTCGATTGCTATCTTGGTGACCTTATTAATAGATCTTGGACTTTCTGACTCATGGCCTATAAATAAGGTCACCAAGATAGCAATCGAAATCGGAAAACAGCTGTTTTTTCTCAAGTCTAATGTCAAAAATTTCGACTTTGTTTACGTTTTCATAATTGACGTCAATTCACAATAATGCATTTTGACAGCAAACTTGAGAGGTATCGATAATCAGCTGGTCTCCCTTGGTGACCTTATTTATAGGTCATGTTCTGACTTTTCCATGGCCTATAAATAAGGTCACCAAGGGAGACCATCTGATTATCGATACCTCTCATGTTTGCTGTCAAAATACATTATTGTGAATTGACTTCCATTACGAAAACGTAAACAAAGTCGAAATTTTTGACATTAGACTTGAGAAAAAACATCTGTTTTCCGATTTCGATTGCTATCTTGGTGACCTTATTAATAGATCTTGGTTCTGACTTTTCAATACAAAAAATCGATTAGTCGAAAGTCGATTTACTTATCCCTAGGCTCTGCATTATAAAAAAATAAAATTATCATAGGTGTTAGTTTCATTAACAAAGGAAAAATAGCAGGATTCGATCTTCCTATTTCCCGCAGTGTAAATTCAATATCAAATATCATTTGCTGTGGGAAATTGAAAGGTATGAGCTGATCCGTTTTTCCCTGCGAGGATGGTGCCAACTTTTTTAAAAGTTACAAGTGTTGAAGTTAAACAAAGAAGAAATTTGGGGGGACCAAGTGTCTGACCAATATATTTAGTTTGAGCCTGGAAAAAGGTAAAAGGAAACAACAAATTTGAATGAAGGTAAATCGTGCAACTATATAATAAGTTATTAATTTTCGTTAGGTTTATTTTTGCTTCCTTCAACATAAATTTGGAAATTGTTTGCATGGGGTTTGACTGACATTTTTATTTTTTTCACGACAGAGTCAGGGTTACCATCTTACCATTAGTAGTGAATAGCCAGGGATTAATATGTATAGTATAATAAGACCTTTCTGACCTTGTTATGCCATGTTCTGACGGGCATTCGAACAACGTAGTTCGCTCTCAGAATTACGTACATGAATTAACCCGTTCATACAACACTATTCCTAATTCATGTCATCAGAGTTTTTTATTTCAAACTTTTTGTTTCTTGTTTTACGCCAAAATTCTAACATATTTACATGAATCACATATGGATCTAAATAGAAAAATTAATTCTCTTTCTCCTGACTATAGTATGAACCCATATCTATTTACTTTTAATTCATGTTTTCCATTTTTTCTGAAAATATTGTTGTTTTCATACATTTTTATATTTTTTAAATTCAAATGTCACATATAAAAATTTTGAGAATTTTTTGTTTGAGTGTCCCCAAATTTGTTTCTTGTTTTGTACGCTAATTAGAACCATGGGGAAAGAAATTCACATTGCATTATGTAGATAACAAAATTTACATCCTGCTGCATATATAAAAACTAGACAATTTTTTACTTTTCATTCATCATTTTCAATATTACTAAAAAAGTTTGAAAATTTTATAAATATTTTCAAGCTGTCAAAATTAATTTATTTTCGATAAATGCTCTCAGTTGTTAGGGATGGGACAAATTTCTTGGTGATTCAGAGAGTGATTCGAATTGAACAACGTACAAAAGTTGGTGTTCGCTCAGACAATTTTGTATGGGGAACTAAGTAATTACTTCATAATTAAGGGTCGAACAACGAATGAGAGAGCGAACAACGCTCGTCTGTACATGGCATTATCCCGATACGTGAATTTTCACTCTTTGGATCTTTCGGAACAAACAGAGGTTCCATCTACAATAAATGTAAAATACATATATAAATGTGCATGATCGTTGTTCTGAACATTTTTCGTCCATGACGTGATAGAAGAAATCCCGTACCAGAAAAATAAGGTAACCAAGAACTGTAGCATACAGCATTGATGCCACAACTTCCATTCAAATAATCGTGATGACTTTTATGTCCACACGAAAAAAAAAAAACATTAGATCAAAATTACATTTGGAAACATTTTCAATTAGATCTATAGTTTATACCGGAACAGGTCTAATTTAGGGCCCCCTCTCGAATCGTTTTGAAATTTTTACAACATGCAGTCCTTAGGGCCTGCTTACAATAGTATAGTAGGGACGCTTGTACTTTCTCATGATTTTTAAAATTTACAATGTTTGTATCAATTTAAAGCGCTTGAAGCCCTGATTACAAAAATATAATATATTCTTATCTAATAAGTCCATACGTTCTGAGATATGGGAAAAACAATATGGGTGTTTGTGGGTAGACTGTATGTGGGTATATAAGGCTTTCTCCTATAGACAGATGGTAACTACGGCTACGAAACCGAATCTCCTTTTAATTAGAATAGGGGCCCTAAACTAGACTTAAGCCTTTTTACCAAACTAGACTAAGTCATAAAAATTACAGTTTAATGGAAAATTATAGTCGCTGAAAATAGAACAATAGCTGAATTTCGAAAATTATTAACATCTACAATATTGACCGCTACACACGAATGGTATCGTGGATCACTATTAATATTATGTATTTATTTTGTTTCATTGCAGTTACGCCTGTTGTCTACACTGCCATACAGTTATAGTTAGAATACGTTAACATAAAACGTAGCAAAATCCATTAATATAGTGTTTTCGCATTGATTTACAATTACCAGAAAATCGTGGAGGTTTAGCGATATCTGCTGAAAATGTCAAATAATCACTACCATAGCCATAATTCATATAATATGGGCGGGTCCGGGAGCGGTTCCAATCAACATTATTCCAATGGCGACACCAAACACGAGTTCAATAATCAACATAGCCAAGGAATTGTCCGGTTGACAAATGGTTATAATTTGAAACCTCTAGCGAATGTGGCTGTACCCGATATGTGCTTATTTTGCTTCCAAGTACTGGATTGTGAATTAAATAACCTTGAGGGACCAGGCACACCTCCATTTACTAACGACGCTTAGTAAGTATATAAACCGAATTTGTCGTGCAATAAACTTTTCCGATTTATATTCGAACTGATGTATTTAATAATATTTAGTCCTCTCTTTGTAACCTGGAAGACGGGTCGCGACAAGCGACTACGTGGTTGTATAGGAACATTTAGCGCAATGCATCTTCACTCAGGATTGCGTGAATATGCCTTGACCAGCGCATTAAAAGATTCAAGGTTTGCTCCGATCTCACGGGAAGAACTACCTAAACTGACAGTTTCCGTATCAATTTTGCAAAATTTCGAAGAAGCAAATGGCCATTTAGATTGGTCATTGGGTGTTCATGGTATACGCATAGAGTTTGTTAACGAACGTGGGTGCAAACGAACCGCTACATACCTGCCTCAAGTAGCAACTGAACAAGGTAAATGACGTAGACATATATAAAACCTATTTTTTAATATTATATTACTTATTTGTAGGCTGGGATCAAATACAAACTATAGATTCCCTCCTTAGAAAAGGGGGATACCGGGCTGCGATTACACCAGAAACGCGTAAATCAATTAAGTTAACCCGTTACCGCTCTCAGGAAATACAAATGAATTATAAGGAATATCGTGAAGTTATAGAACGTCGGGGACAATACTGTAAAGTGCAATGCTAACACCAACCGAAATATCATTGGAGTAAATCGACGAAAATAGGTCGTATAAATTTGATTTAATTTGAACATAAATTCTCTTGCCGAAAAGGCGTAGAATTATTATAATAGTATATAAATATAAGATACCACATTTATTAATAATTGAGCTCTTAACTTCTCTTTAAATAGCAAAACAAAATATACGATAAACAGACGAAAAGAATTATGCCAATATTTGAACATTAAGTGGAATACTTTTCGTCAATGGATGTGTTTCATTTCGTATAGCGAGTAATTGTTTTCTGGATTTCATCATTTATGCGGATATAAATTGTTGTCCCTAAATTAAACAAATAATTTAATAAAAATTCATTGAATAATACTACTTTGGATTTTGGTTTAAAAAGGTAATAGTGTCGAAATTAAATAAAAACACATTTTATTAACTGCTACGTAAACTTCTTTGTATTGATTTTGAAGAGTTGAAAAAAATTTAGATACTTTTACTAGTTTTCCTTTCATTCCTGAACGTTTTGTGCAATTTAGTACACTCAAAGATCGCCACAAGCACATATCACCACTTCGTCGAAAGTGGCTCTGTGAAACAGGAAAAGGCTGGATGATGTAACTGTCCCCTAACGGTCATTACGTTTTGGAACAAAAGCGGAGTTCTATTTGAAATTATCTCGATTTAAGACGCGTTTAGAATATCGCTGGCTTAACATTCTATTTTCCTGCTGTTAATTCCCATCATGAGTTTTTACTTACCATGAGTACTAGTACTTATGTGATATATCGAGATTATAATACAATTAATCTTAACTCCCTAATCTGTGATACCGGGTGATAAAAATATGGCGCGGCTGTTTATCTGTTCAACGAAATTAAATTTGTAAATAGTAGTAGGAATACTCAAATACTCCTTCAACGTTTCACGCATATTGTATTAGAGCGATCGTTTGCAGTTCGTGTAGCGAGATTATGGAACATGTTACCTAGTTATCTAAACGACTTTTCCATTCATCTACATACTTTTAATTGTAATCTTCTAAACTATCTAAATCAATCTCTATAAATATTTTCCATTTTTTCGTTTGTTTATTAGTTTTTTTTTTTTTAATTTTAAACAAGTAAAAAAGTATCAGTCGGTGCTGCCGACAGATTTATACTCTCACCCTATGGTTTGCGGAGGCGACCTTCGGAGTTATACACAGGTTTTATTATTCGTTTTATATAAGTTATAGGTTAAACTAAAGGTGTTTAGGATTTAATGCTGATAAAATATATAAAATGGACCCTTTTTGGTAGGAGGTACCAGAAGAGAGGGCAGACGTTCAGGCTTGATCTAGGCTTGGTAAAAATAATAGGTTGTGCAAAACTTGGTTCAAATCGGGCATTCCATTGGCCTAATATTGGATTTATAAATATTAAATATGTGGATCATTTGTGTGGTAGGTGCCAGAAGGAGTGGATCAATGAGTCCCATTTTCCTACTTGATCTAGGCTTGGTTAAGATAAGAGGTTGTACAAAGTTTGATTCAAATCGGACATTCCATTAGCTTGCTATTAAATTTATAAATGTTGAAAATTTCGACCCTCTGTGGGGGAGGTACCAGAAGGAGTGGATCAATGGGTCCCATATTCCTACCTGATCTAGGCTTGGTAAAAATAATAGGTTACACAAAGTTTCGTTAACATCGGATAGTCCGTTTGCTAGTTATTATAAAATTAATTTTTAGAACAATTTTCACAATTTTGTGGGGGAAATGCCAGAAGAAGTAGACCGATATTTCCCATCCTAAACTGAGTTTGGAAGAAATATTAAGATGTGCAAAGTTTGGATGAAATCGATTATTCCTTTCGAGAGTTATCGTGCGCACCAGCCAGACATTTTGTAGTAGAAGTTTTATTATGAATGAAAAACTTGAGTATGTACAACATGAATTGTAATATAATAGTAAATCAAAGACTACTATACATAGAACAAAAAACTTGGTTATATAAAGTAGTATAACATTTCTTAACATTCAACATCAACACTTTCCCTTGTTAAGAGATGTTAGACTGTTTATTGTAATCCAATATGATCGCAAAGAAGTTTAAGTCTTGTGGGTTGCAAAGGTTTTGTCATCAAATCAGCTAATTGATCTTGAGTAGGTATTTGTATTACTTGAAGCTCATTATCAGAAACTTTTTCTCTAATAAAGAAATGGTTATTGTTGATATGCTTTGTACGTTTGTGATATTCAGGATTTTGTGCCATACGTACTGCAGCATAATTATCAACATATAACAATAGAGTGGAATTTAATTCTATCAATTCAGAATATAAAAGTTTTAGCCAAATTACTTCTTTTGTTGCTTCAGAAGCAACAATTTCTGCTTCTGTTGTAGATGTTGCTACCATAGCTTGGGGGCTACTCTGTATTGCGATGCGTGAGAAAAATTGTAACGCATCGCGTAATTGGTACTCTCTAATTCGTTTTCGTATCTCCTTTCGCATCTACTTTACGCAAATGTAGCATCACCGCACTCTGTAATACGAAAACGCATGTCAAACTCGTTCGTTAAGCGCAAATATCTTGCGTTAACAAAATAGCAAACGCAAAGGAAGCGAAACATATAAGTAAGCTCCATTAAAGGTTTTATTTATATATAAATTGTAAATTATTTTAAGTAAAAGGCAAAAAAGTCACAGTTACACAGTGATTTGGCAAAGGGACAGTTGCAGAGTTCAAATGCGAAACAACGCGCCAACAATTTGTGGACAAAACTGTCTGATGACCTCAATTCAAATTGACCTCTTGTAAAAGATGTCGGTGGTTGGAAAAAGTAATATATTTGGTCTGTTCCCGTACTGCAAGAATCTACTACTTTTAACTACGATAACGAATTTTCCTTTATGATATCGAAGAAAATAGTAAAATCGAGTAGATTCTTGCAGTACGGGAACAGACCAATTATTTTTTTATATAAAATGTGAAACTATGTGTGCATATTTATAGGTTGGTGTTGATAACCACATTGTCCAAGCAATTTCAAAGCAGCGGCCTCTTTTATTGGAGTTGGAATTGTTGTGGATCTATTTGAAACGACGAGCGTTTAAAAAATACAAAACGAATCTTTATTGAGACATTTTATATAAATCTATAAAAATTAAATATTTGAAAACATTTGTCACATAATTCGTACTTATATTTTCATACCCGTGGTCACTTAGGGAGAGTATATTTGATAGATCTCATAAAATTCTTTTTTTAATTCGTTCATCATTTTTGTTTAAAAAAACACTCGTACCCCACAAAAATATGTTTTCATTTACAATTTTTTGACGTTTCCTTTTGTCATTCTTCGTTATTGTTTACTTTGTGGCGACAGTGTTGCCCTATTTTCAATTTAGTTTGCGAATGCGTTTGCGTGAACGTTGCAGAGTACCAAATTGTACTCTTAACGCATTTAGCTTTCGCAACGCAATACAGAGTAACCCCCCTTGTCTCTGGCATAGCCATGATACAACCCCTCCTGCAAATTTTACAACAACACCAGATGTAGATCTTCCGGTTTTCAAACATCCTCCAAAATCTGCATCACTGTAGCATTCTAGCTCTTGAGCATGTTCGTTGTTGTAAAATATTCCATAATTAATTGTTCCAGATATGTAACGAAAAACTCTTTTAACACGGGTAATATTTTCGTTGGATGGATTTTCTAATGTTCTTGAAAGGAATCCAATGCTATAAGCTAAGTCAGGCCTTGTTCCCAGCATAAGATACATAATGCCTCCTACGGCTTGTCTGTATGGAAATTGAGAACACTCCACATTGTCTTTCCCCGATTCGAAATTGTTTCCTTTCAGCATAGGCGATGAAATTGGCCTGCAATCAGTAAACCTAAATCTTTCCAGAATTCTTTTTGCGTATGCTTCCTGACTGATTGATATCCCACTTTCATTTGTCTTTATTTCCAGGTCCAAAAAATAACTTGCATCTTTTGTGGTTAATTTGAATTCTCTTCTCAACTCTTCCAAAAATGTTTCCAGCTCGTCGGGGTCTGTGGCAGCTACTAGACCATCATCTACATAAAGAGCTAGTATTAATTTCTTCCCTTCTTGATTTCGTATGTATATACAGGGATCGGCGTCAATAGTTTCTTCAAGGTGGCCATAAAGAAAAGCAGTGGATACATCAAATTGAGATAGATGGATCTTTTCACTTGCAGCTATACTTATTATAGCTTGTATCGCTGCCAACCTTGCAACTGGACTGAAGGTTTCATTGTAGTATACACCTTTACATTGTTTGTATCCTTTTATGACTAATCTTGCTTTGTATTTGTCTGTACTTCCATCAGGGTTAGTTTTTATCTTATAAACCCACTTTGATGGGAGTACCTTATTTCCTTTGGGAAGTTGAATCAAATCCCACCTGTTGTTTTCTCTGAGAGAATTCATTTCTGAGTTCATTGCCTTTATCCAATGATATTTTTCTGTACTTTTGATAGCATCAATAAAACTGGTAGGTGTTTGAACTTGACACATAAAATCTTGAGCAGCCATAACATAGTCATCATACTTCGAGTTATGTAGCGTTGATCGATCTCTTAAACGATTTCTAATTGTATTTTCTACCGTATCAAATCCATGGAAATCGCTCTCACTGGATACATTTTCTTCCGAACATTCTTCAAATATCTCATCTTCCCAATCTGAATCACAACGAATGTCTTCAACATGTCTTGGTGTACTTAGCTGAATATGATCTTCTTCTAACACTTCTTCTTTAGATCTTTCATATAATTTAAATGACAATTTTATTTCTTCAACTTTTTTATTGAAGACTCTTCATTCATCTCTTGCTTTTGATCATCACATTTTAAAATTTGTTTATTAAATGTCACATCTCTTGACAAAATTACACTGTGATTTTCTTTGATATAAATTCTGTAACGCTCTTCAGTATCATATCCAATTAAATATCCCTTAATTGCCTTTGAATCCATCTTTTTCCTCTTCTGACTTGGAATATGGACATAGCATTCACTTCC